GGCAGATCCATCATAGGTGCCCACCATCTGAAACCGGATTGTACCTCTGTCATTTTTCTGCCAGTTTATAATGTCATAGAGGGGCACAGGCTCTCCATTGTTGTCAAAATACACCTTCTCATTGAACTGGTTTGTAAAATGTACTTTCTTCAGGTAGTGAAGGAGCTATTGAATTAGTTAAGGCAAGCAATAAATAAATAATTTAAAAAATTAAATTAAAAAATAATAATAATAATTTTTACACATTTTATAACACAAACACACATGTGTATGTATATATATATATATATATATATATATATATATATATATACGCACACACATGAATATTACCTGCCACGGAGAGAACTTTGATTCAGTCTTACAGATGTGATCTGAGCTTTGTTCCTTAGAACCACATTGTAACAGTTGGTGTAGAGCATGAGCAATAGCATACACTGCTTTATAGACATTGTATGAAATTCTCACCCTTGATACATCAGTATAGCTATTTTCAGTCTCCATTAGATCCTCTGAACCAGTACAGAGTGATGACAACTCAGAATCACCACCATCCTTATAACCTAGCCTGCATCCAAACAGTTCCTCCCAAAACATGTTGGTGAAAACAGATTCAGGTCTTGGTGAGGGTGTAACCCTGAGGAGAAACTCAGCCAAGCCTGGAATAGTGGTGCCCCTAAAGGCAAATCCCACTGTTCCAGCCAAGACAGGGTGAAGCTCAGGGATAGTTAGAAGTTTGGCTGTCACCCAGGCTTCACTGGCCACCCATTGCCTCCTTGTTAGATTCCTATGAGCTGCTTCAACCAAGAGTTCCAGCAGCTGTCCTTCAGTGGCAAATGCTATAATCACTTGTGCAGTGGAACCCTCCAGGCTATTAATAATTGCATGTATCTGTGCCTGGGCAGGTGTTTTGGGTATAGTGTGGTGAAAGGCTATACAGCCACCAAGTCTTTCAAGCTGCTCGGTAAAGGCCTGGATGCCATAGTGACTGTAGTCGTCATCTGTGCCCACTGTACCCACCCAGCGCCAGCCAAAGTAGGAAACCAACTGGACCAGTCCCTGCACCTGAAATACATCACTGGGCACAGTACGCAGGAAAGAAGGGTATTCCTTCTTATTTGTGAGACAGGTGCAGGTTGCAAAGTAGCTTATCTTGAAAGATAAGAAAGACAAATAGAAAAAAAGGAGATTAAGGGAGATGTGAAAGCATGGATTTGTCTGATTTTTGTCTGTTTTTGGCAGAAGGTTTTTTTTCTCTCTCCTCTGTCTCTCTCTAAATATTGACCAATAAAGAACATTAGAACAGTGTACAGAAATATGTCTTAAATATATTTTGCTGCACTGATCAGGTTATAGATGCTGATCTTTTTTTTCTCTCTCTCTCTCCCTAAGATGTTTCCCTTTTTTGGTGCTAAAAACAAGTATGTACAACCTGGGCAAATGATAACATATTTTTGGCATTAGCTAATTCGCTGCAACATACATAATCAATAGTATGCACTAGAATCAGGAGAATAAATAGTACTAAAAACCCAGAGGATAGCTTATGAGTAACCTATTATAGAGATGATGCATTCAAAAGAAAAGCTAAAGCGCCTGTTGATTTTTATTTTTTTTTATTTTTTTGCACGATCATTAATAAAACAGATAATCTGGCTACTAATGTTATTTATTCAATAATATGTAACAACAGACAAATTAGTTTATAGCACTGGTCATTTCTGATTTGTTTTTATGAGAATTAAAGGTTTCAATAAATGCAGGTTCTTGGAAGACACAACATGAAAATCAGTGTTAAAATGCTCACAAAGCTTAACTATGGCATATTGCTCTCGTAGTTTGACTATATGTTCAATACATAATGTTAAAAAGCTCACAGTTATGATTTTTGATTATAACTTTTGATTTTTATAACGGCAGCAGATGGAAAAGGCTTTGACTGAAATTTTGCACAATCGTGTGTTGTTTAACAAAGAAATAAGTGAATACATAAATTAACAGCAATAAATAAATATCTGGAATTATCATCTCTTACAAGACTCTTACTCAGACTCTTACCAGTGGAATTCCAAATGGACCCAAAGTTTGTGCCACAGCCCGTGTGGGCGATGATGATGCCAGACCAATGACAGCTGGCACTGGGGCAGTGGAAAGGCATTTGGCACTGTCATCAGCATTAGCCTTTGTTTGACTGGAGGTGCCATTAACCAGGAAAAGCGTGCTTCGCAGACTGGTGTGCACATGATCACAGCTATCCAAGATCCGATAGCCTAGTGTCACTCCTGGTAATAAACTGGAGTTACTGTTAATTTCTTCAATGGCAAACACCATTGTTTGGACCCAGCGGAATGCACGGAAATCAAATCTGTTGAAAAGATGAGGAGAGAGCAAAGACAACAAGGAGAGAGCTGGGTATAGCAGTAGTGAGAAGTTAACAAACAGGCTTATTCTGAGGAGAACAGTTCACAAAAGTGATAATCACCATTATTTTATCATAATAATAAGTAAATGTTATGGGTAACAAAGTGTGGATCTCATTCACATTACATTCAAGGTTTATATTTATTATTTTAAACTGGTATATTATTTTATATTTTCATTGCTGTTCTTCATTCTCTGCATGTTGTTTCACACACCCGCTGCACTCTTGATGCTGTGGCTGTTCAGAGTAATTATGGTCAGTTTCCGGGGCTATATAGTGCATGGGAAACAGCCCTCCAATTACAATATCACCATCCTGTTCCAGTACTGGTGAATTAAAATCACCCAGTGTCCAGCACCTATTGTCCAATGCGTTGCAGAAAACTACTGAGAAGTACAGCAGAAGCAACAGACCAAGTAGTACCAGTTTAGTCACTGGCATCTTATTGGCCATTGCTGAAGCTTTCAAATCCAACCATGGAAACAGCTAGTGAGGACCCCATCCAGAATGTCTGGAAGTCTAGAGCTCTCAGTTATAAAAAAAGTGTCAAGATGCCGAATGTAACATCAGATGAGACTGGCCAATGATATACTTTGTGGGTGGAGTAGTTACTTAGGTCATGTGATTTAACAGTGCTTCAGATCAAGGTGCTTTGAAATGTATTAGGAATCCTAAAATAGTGGCAAAGCATCACATTATGAATGTTATCATTACCAGCCTTGAATTGTGTAACATTAAAAAATTTCCATAGGCCACAATAGGTTACATATTGCCTGCAGATATGCTATAAACAACCACTTTTTTTAAATATAATTTAAATATAGCACAGAATAATTATTTGAAAGCTTCAAATAAATTGGATGATTAGATTATCATTTCATTTAACCTCTTATTGTTTGTGGATTATATTGAAAATTATCAAATTATCATTCTGCGCGAATCATGTGAGCCAGAACAAAGTGTGTACATATCCTCCTGAGACACAGCCATAGACCGTTTTCCTCTGTAGAAGACGATTAATTTTAGCAAATTTCCACACATCACGGTTTTAAGTCTGGATAGACACATTCAGGGCTTTTTTAGAAAAAAAAAAAAGGTTTATCTATGAAAACTCCTCCTTGGTCTTTAAAGGGGTCATATGATGCGATTTCAATTTTTCCCAATATGGTAAGGGACGTAACATTTCTGTCACACGCTTGAAGAATTCGGCCAATCACATCCCTCACAATATTTTTCAGACCGATGAGCTTTGTAAAAATCGATGCGTTTCAGAAAGGCGGGGCATAGAGGAGAAACAATAATGTACAGTATGTGGAAAATAATGTGTTTTTTTAACCTTAAACCGCAAACACATTTCATTACACCAAATACACAAAATAATGTTCTTTTTAGCAGCATCATATGACCCCTTTAAAAAATGACATTGACATTGAGCAAATGACTGAATTGACCACTCCTATGAAAATATAATATTTCGTAATTTTCATTTAAATCTGGCTAATTCTCAAATTGTTAATCATAAACAAATGTCAGAAAAACGCTATGGGGATTCAAATCAGAATATGACTTTCTGTGACAGAACATGTCCTCTGTAGTGGACATCAGGACATACAGCATGTTTATTAGGGTTGCTAAGGTGTTGCTCTCATTATTAAACTTCTTTTTCATTACATGTTGCTCCAAAAACCTATTAATATGCAAATTAGATACAATGTACATATACAATGTAAAGAAAGGGAATACCCTTTTATGGTCATGTTTACACACACATTGCAAATTAGAATATCAAATAATTATGTAATATCTTTCATAACATAGTTCAGAATCATCTTTTTGTTTGAATCATCAAAAAAAACAAACAAAAAAAAACAGGCCTGATGTCCAGAAAACATAGCATAAAATATAAACTTTAAAATACATTTCTCTCTCTCTCTATCATTTGTTTGTTAATTCAGTTATATAGAAAAAAGGGCAGACTGATCAACACTCACTCACAGAGCTACTGTTAGTCTGTGTATTTTTATGTTTGTGAGAAATTGTGAGAAAAGAAGTGATAAATTAGAGCTTGTCATTAGGTGACTGCCATCTACTGGATATATTAAAGAACACACTCCCCCACCCAGCTTCTTTTTTTTGTGTGTGTGTGTGTGTGCATTAGAATCACAATCCTTTTTATGAGAACTGAAAAGTTAGATTTGTTAAACTATTACTATTAACATAAAATAAGCCTACCATAGAACGTGTCTAGCACAACATTACATGGTCCCAGTTCTCTGTTAATTGTGACCATTTATTTAATTTTCTTTTTCTTTTTAAACTTTTTTTCTTCTTAATTTTTTGTTGTTGTTAAAAAATAGAATGTTTATTGCTAGAAAATAACAAATATCACACCTCTGAGTTTTAAACTGTAATATTGGTAACTGTGTTGCATTTAATCTGTGCAAATTCTGAAACAGAAAAATTGAGACCCAGAGTGACGTCTTTCCTAACGCCCATGTGACACCATCTGCTCTATAAAACAGTGCTGACTTGTCATACATTAATGAGTCAAGTGGGTGTATGAGAGAAAGTAATAGAGATGTGGATAACACTATATTTATATTTTTATCTGTCCTTTACCTGTATCTCTGCATCTTCAATCACCAGGTCAGGCTCCTGTCAGCTCCAGGGACGCTTCAAGTTGAAGGGGATGTACCAAGACGGAGACCTTATCATTGGAGGCCTGTTTGCATTTCATCTCATCACAGTGTTCCCAGAACTGAACTTTAAAAGAGAACCGGAGCAGTCACATTGTGAGCGGTGAGCCTGGGCTAAACGGATGGCAAAAAACGGAAAGGACATTTGAAAGACAATAGAAGGAAACATGCAGAACAAAGTCTATGTTTTATGTATTTCGTTTAGAGCTGATTGTCTAATGAAAGGTTTGAAATGTGTTGAGATGAGAGAGATCAAGAGATCATCTTATCATGGGATGTTTTTTTTTTTTTGTTTTTTGTGATGATATTCTGATATTCTTTAGGGTAACTGAATGTAAACATTGTGCTGCCTTTTCTAGATTCTATATGCCAAGTTTCCAGCAGGCACAAACTATGGTATATGCCATAAATGAGATCAATAACAATCCTAACCTGTTGCCTAACATAACCCTCGGTTATCATCTGTATGACAACTGTGTGAAGCTTGGACTGGCATTCAGGTCTGCAACCGCCCTGCTTAGTGGGACAGAGGAGACCGTTTCCAATTTCAACTGCACTGGCCCTCCTCCAGTAATTGGGATTGTGGGGGATCCTGGATCTACTCACTGTATAGCAATCTCCAGTGTGCTGGGACTGTTTCGAATACCTATGGTAGGATGAGTTAAATATACAATTCCATTACCTTTCACAAAATGTTTCATTTTGTCTGCTAATTTAAAAGAGTAATTGCTATAACAACTATTTTTGTCATTATGATCTCTCCTATAGGTTAGCTACTATGCCACCTGCTCCTGCTTGAGTGACAGGAAAAAGTATCCCTCTTTCTTCAGAACAATCCCCAGTGATGCCTTCCAGGTGCAGGCTATGATTCAGATTTTGAAGCATTTTGGATGGACTTGGGTTGGTCTTCTCTACAGTGATGATGACTATGGCATCAATGCTGCTCAGTCCTTCCAAAAGGAAGTGCAGTTGTTTGGAGGTTGTGTTTCTTTTTCTGAAATCTTGCCTCTTGATAACAACCACATAGACATCCAGCACATTGTACAAGGGATTCAGGCCTCTACAGCAAGAGTGGTGGTGGTGTTCTCCACAGAAGCCTATCTGCTGCCTTTGATGGATGAGGTGGTATTGCAGAATGTAACAGGCAGGCAGTGGATTGCAAGTGAAGCTTGGGCCACCTCACCTGTGTTTCACACTCAGCGTCTTCTGCCCTTTCTAGGAGGCACTCTGGGCATTGCCATCCGTCGAGGAGAGATCCAGGGACTTCATGAATTTCTGCTACACCTCCATCCTGACAGTAATTTGAGAAATAATATGGTGAGAATCTTCTGGGAGAACATGTTTGGGTGCAGCTTTGACACTGGAGGTAGAGAGGGAGAAAAAATGTGTACAGGACAGGAAGATTTAAGCAGCACAGAAACAGCATACACTGATGTTTCAGAGCTGAGGGCTTCATATAATGTGTATAAGGCAGTTTATGCCCTGGCACATGCACTACATGGCCTTATGCAGTGTGAGGAGGGTAGTGGGCCATTCAGTGGGAACAGATGTGGCGATATAACCAACCTAAAACCCTGGCAGGTAAGACTCCTGTGGACAGAAACATAGCTTATCAGTTATACTGTTAATTTCAAATTTTATAGGATAGCTAAATGGAAAACGAAAACAAAACATATTCATAAAAATCATTAAGATGGATATGTTCTGTCTACAAACTGTGCAGCTGGTTCACTACCTACAGAAAGTGAACTTCACCACAGGCTTTGGGGACCATGTGTCATTTGATGAGAATGGAGATGCTCTGGCCATCTATGATGTGATGAACTGGCAGCCGAGCTCTGATGGATCAATAGTTGCTCGAACAGTTGGTGTGGTAGATGAAGGGGCAGCAAGAGGGAAGGTGCTCACATTGGAGGAGGATGCAATATACTGGAACTTAGAGACAAATAAAGTAAGTATTTTTCAATCTTTTAAACTATTGAAACAGAACCCTCCTATGATAACATATTATGTGTGTAATTTTTGCTGAAGGAAGTATACTTTTTGGAAATTATACAAACATACTGTGCACTATTTGTGTGTGTGTGTGTGTGTGTGTGTGTGTGTGTGTGTGTGTGTTTATGTGTTTTATGTGTCCTTCAGCCTCAACAGTCTGTGTGCAGTGAGAGCTGCCCCCCAGGCACCAGGCGAACCAGAAGGAAGGGCCTTCCTGTTTGCTGTTTTGACTGCCTGCCATGTGCAGATGGAGAGATTTCTAATATACCAGGTGAAGAGAGTCATGCCAGCAAAATTACAACAGTTGAAACAGTAGTATTATTTAATCACAGTTCAACATTATGCCTCTGTTTTTGTGTTCTCTCTCTTTAATTTTCATATACATAGATTCCATTGAGTGCACAGTGTGTCCAGATGAGTTCTGGTCCAACCCAAAAAAGGATGAGTGTGTCCCGAAAGAAGTGGAGTTTCTATCCTATGAGGAACCTCTGGGCATTTCCTTGAGCACTGCTTCCTTGCTCGGCACTTGTATCTGTTCTGCAGTGGTTGTCATCTTTGCGCATCACCGCCATACTCCAGTTGTGCGAGCTAACAATTCAGAGCTCAGCTTTCTGCTGCTGTTATCACTCAAACTATGTTTTCTGTGTGTGCTGCTTTTCATTGGCCGGCCTCAGTTATGGACGTGCCAGTTAAGACATGCAGTGTTTGGCATAAGCTTTGTCCTGTGCATCTCCAGCATCCTGGTGAAGACTATGGTGGTAATAGCTGTGTTCAAGTCATCTCGACCAGAGGGTAAAAGTGCTATGAAATGGTTTGGAGCCGCTCAACAAAGATGCACAGTTCTGGTCCTAACAACCCTCCAGGTTGTGATATGTGCAGTCTGGCTATCAAATGTATCTCCAGCACCGCATAAAAATAGCCAGTATATCAGTTCCAAAATAGTATATGAATGTACTATAGGCTCAGTGGCTGGGTTTTCCATGCTACTCGGCTATATTGGCCTTTTAGCAGCAGTAAGTTTCCTGTTAGCCTTCCTTGCAAGAAATCTTCCAGATAATTTTAATGAAGCAAAGTTCATCACTTTTAGCATGCTGATCTTCTGTGCTGTGTGGATTGCATTTGTTCCAGCATATGTGAGTTCACCAGGGAAATATGCAGTGGCTGTAGAGATATTTGCCATCCTGGCTTCAAGTTTTGGATTACTGGTTGCCATATTTGCTCCAAAGTGCTACATCATTATTTTACACCCAGCAAGAAACACTAAAAAAGCCATCATGGGAAGAGCAACCTAAAAAAATAAAAAATAAAAAAAAAAACTTTAGTTTTAAATGCTGAACAAATGTACTGCTTGTTGAAACATGAATACACAGCTTTGATGCAGGTAAAGAACAATTAGCAGCTGTTTTCAATCAAATAAGCGTGGCTTGTTTTCAGATAAATCTCTGTCAGATCTAACAAACCCCTTACATACCCTCACATAAATTGAAACATTCAGTTCAAAGAAGCATTTTATCTAAAAATGAATTAATGAATGATTTACACAGAACATATGAATTTAAATCATCCTAACGTGCATATTGTTTATGTCTTGTGTGAAATAGCATTTTAACATTTACAAAGTGGCCCTATTTATTGTAAGCCACTCACCATAACATAATTTTTTTTTAAAGAATACAATGGATTTTTTTTTCTTTTCTTTTTTTATCTACATTATGCCACAAATGCTGTTGACTGAGTTTAACTTTTATTATTAAACCTTGAATTTAAGTAAATAAATAAAATGTGTCAACAATAGGTTTTTCTTCTGTTAGAGCTTTCAGTCTTCAAGTGCCACCTTCATATATTGTAGTCAGCGTACTCCACCTGCAGGCAATATTATGATGTTATGTTAACCTTATTAAACCATGCCTTACTAAGAACAGACAGCACAGAATAAGCGATTATGGGATGAGATGTTGCATTCAAATTCATCTAAAATCAGGATGGAGCTTAACGGAATGTGAATGAATGAACGCATACGTGTGCGTGCGTGTGTGTAGAACTGTGAGAATGCACACTTTCCATAATTGTTTTCCCAATTTGCTTCTAATGCACAATCCATGTTTTTGATTTGAGTGTGTGTGTGCACTGGTTTCGGTGGTTTATGGGGACACAAATTTGTATAATGACATGGGTATGACAGAGGTATTACAGTGTGAAGGTGGTTTATGAGGATGCTGCCTAAGTCCCCATAATTCAAAAGGCTTAAAAAAACATACTAAATTGTCTAATTTTTTATGAGTGAAATGTGTATTTAATATGATATAAACAGGCTGACGTCAATTGTCTACGTTTGAAGTAACTGATCAATTACCAGTTAATTAACTGATAAAAATTAGTTAATTAATAACTGATAAAAAGTGTTTTTTATATATATATATATATATATATATATATATAGAATGGTATTTAGGATAATGGACAGAATGAATGAATGAATGAATGAAAAATACCCTGTCACACTTTACTCATGATTTGAAAATGACTCAAAACAGTTACCCAGAAGGATATCCTTATTTCTCAAGTGACACCTCCCCTACTATAAAAGAATACCACACTGGGTCTATATATATATATATATATATATATATATAGAATGGTATTTAGGATAATGGACAGAATGAATGAATGAATGAATGAAAAATACCCTGTCACACTTTACTCATGATTTGAAAATGACTCAAAACAGTTACCCAGAAGGATATCCTTATTTCTCAAGTGACACCTCCCCTACTATAAAAGAATACCACACTGGGTCATACAGTAAATTTAGCTGAGTTTGTCATAAAGAAAAAGGAAGAAGGACAGAGATGTGGATCACTCTAAATATCTGCCTGTATCTGTCATTTAACTATATCACTGCTACTTTTATCTCAGACTCTTGTCAGCTCCAAGGACGCTTCAAGTTGAACGGGATGTACCAGGTTGGAGACTTCATAATTGGAGGCCTGTTTGAGGTTCAGCACCTCAAAGTCTTCCCAGAACTTACCTTCAGAACTGAGCCAGAACTGCCCCAGTGTGAGGAGTGAGTTTGGATTGAATGAGAACTGCTGTGCTTAACAAAGAGTATGAAAGAAAAGTAAAATGAGATTTAAAGAAAAGGATGAAAAAGAACAATGACATAGCTGCTGATTGTGAATTGTTCACAATATTTTTTCTAAATTATTTGTTTCCCGTGACTTCTAGATTTTGTTTTTCAACTCAACTAATATATGAGAATAGAAACTACATCATTACAACTTTGTGCTGAAATTATATACTGCATACAAAACTCAAATAGTGAGTAGAAAAGCACAAGGACAAAATAGAAATGTGGTCGTAATCTACTTTATATAATAATTATATTATAATTGATCTCTGATTTTAAATATACAGTAAGCTAGATACATTACTACTTAGTCATAAAATATGTTGCTATTTCCAGATTCTATATGGCAAGTTTCCAGCAGGCACTGACTATGGTTTTTGCCATAAATGAGATTAACAATAATAATGACATGCTGTCTAACATCATGCTTGGTTACCAAATCTATGACAACTGCTTAAGACTTGGAGTGGCGTTCCGGGCTGCCATATCCCTGGCTAGCGGGACAGAGGAGTCCTTCTCAGACCTCAACTGCACTGGCCCTCCTCCTGTGATTGGGATTGTGGGGGACCCAGGTTCAAGTCAATCAATAGCAATTTCCAGTGTCCTGGGTCTGTTTCGAGTTCCTATGGTAAGACATGATATATATTTTTGCCATAAAATATACAGTATTTGTTTACAAATATCAGTTTGTAAATAATTAAAAATGTGTGTGTGTGCTTTAAAACCATTTTATTCCCTTGCTTCTCATTTCTTATGAATTTCATTCACAGTGTGAAATTGCCTGAGAAACCTTTTTTGTTTGTTTGTTTTGTTCTTGTGATTTGTATTAGGTTAGTTACTATGCCACTTGCTCCTGTTTGAGTGACAGGAAAAAGTACCCCTCTTTCTTCAGAACAATCCCCAGTGATGCCTTCCAGGTGCGGGCTATGGTTCAGATCTTGAGACATTTTGGATGGACTTGGGTTGGTCTCCTCTACAGTGATGATGACTACGGCATCTATGCTGCTCAGTCCTTCCAGCAGGAAATGCAGCTGTTTGGGGGTTGTGTGGCATTTTCTGAGATTTTGCCTTATGATAATAACCACAGGGACATTCATCGAATAGTAGGGGTTATACAGACCTCTACAGCCAAGGTAGTTGTAGCATTCTCAACTGATTTGTCATCCCTGATGGATGAATTGTTGTCGCAAAATGTGACAGGCAGGCAGTGGATTGCAAGTGAGGCTTGGACAACAACACCTGTCCTACAAACTCCACAATATTTGCCCCTACTGGGGGGGACACTGGGCATTGCCATCCGTCGTGGACAGATTCAGGGACTTCATGACTTTCTGATACATCTCCACCCTGACAATAATCCAAAAAACAGTACAATAAAAATCTTCTGGGAGAAAATGTTTGGGTGCAAGTTTGAGGCTGTAGATGAACAACAAGAACAAGGTGGAACCAAATGTTCAGGGCATGAGGATCTGAGCAGCACAGAAACAGCATACACTGATGTATCAGAGCTGAGGGCCTCATATAATGTGTATAAGGCAGTTTATACCCTGGCACATGCACTTCATGACCTGATGCAGTGTGAGGAGGGGAGAGGACCATTCAATGGGAACAGCTGTGCCGACATAACCAACCTGAAACCTTGGCAGGTAAAACTCATATATAGTGCACACAATATACAAAGTTCTGCCACATATTTCATATAACACATGTTCTGTCTACAAACTGTACAGCTGGTTCACTACCTACAGAAAGTGAACTTCACCACAGGTTTTGGGGATCGTGTGTCATTTGATGAGAATGGAGATGCTCTGGCCATCTATGATGTGATGAACTGGCACCCAAGGTCTGATGGGTCGATCGTTGTCCGCACAGTTGGTGTGGTAGATGAAGGGGCAACAACAGGGAAAGTGCTCACACTGGATGAAAATGCATTATACTGGAATTTTGAGCCAAAAAAGGCAAATAACATATAGCATGTTACTTACCTCTTGGTTAGGATGTTTAGTCTGAACGTTTAACAAAAAACAATAACATTTAATTGGCCGATGAGTAACCAGTAGCAATAAATTAATAAGTCTTTGTACCCTTTTAACTGTTTTTTAACTCTGTTCACTGACATATATGAAAGAATATGATTAAAAATAGTAATAATCATACATAAACATTTTAGGTGTATGTAAATAAATATATCTAGAAATTTAGAAATTGATTATCCTCCTTCAGCCCCCACAGTCTGTGTGCAGTGAAAGCTGCCCCCCAGGCACCAGACGAGCAAGGAGGAAAGGCTTTCCTGTCTGCTGTTTTGACTGCCTGCCATGTGGAGATGGAGAGATTTCTAATACGACAAGTGAGAAGATTCATGTTTGCAAATTAAATATGTATTTGAACATAAATATTGGATAATTTTCAATATAATTATACTGTGCTCTTGTCCTATATCTCTCTTTCTTTCCGTCTCTTACAGATTCACCCGAATGCGTCATGTGTCCAGATGAGTTTTGGCCGAGTCCAGAAAATGACCACTGTGTTCCTAAAGAAGTTGAATTTCTGTCCTATGAAGATCCGCTGGGGATTTCTCTGACCACTGCCTCCCTCTTAGGCACTAGTTTCTGTGCTCTTGTGATGGTCATCTTTGCTCATCACCGTAACACTCCTGTAGTACGTGCTAACAATTCAGAGCTTAGCTTCCTGCTGCTGTTGTCACTCAAACTGTGTTTTCTGTGTGTGCTGCTGTTCATTGGCCGGCCACAATTGTGGACATGTCAGTTAAGGCATGCTGTGTTTGGCATAAGCTTTGTCCTGTGCATCTCCAGCATCCTGGTCAAGACTATGGTGGTAATAGCCGTATTCAAGTCATCTCGACCAGAGGGTAAATCTGCCATAAAGTGGTTTGGTTCAGCACAGCAAAGAGGAACTGTTTTAGCCCTAACTTCTACACAAGTAGCAATATGCACAGTCTGGTTATCTACTGCGTCCCCGACACCCCATAAAAACAATCATTATATCCGCTCTAAAATAGTATATGAATGCGCTATAGGCTCAGTGGCTGGTTTTTCTGTGCTGTTGGGATACATTGGACTGTTGGCGGCGGTAAGTTTCCTGTTAGCCTTCATGGCCAGGAAACTTCCAGATAATTTTAATGAAGCAAAGTTCATCACTTTCAGC